AACCCCGGACCATGTGCATGGTCGACGAGAGTCCTAACCACTGTGCCACCGACGCATTGTGCATGAAAATTCAGAAAAAGTCTTCACGAAACTACACCCAGCTATTTATAACAAAATAATCTACTTTGTGCATCAGTGGCACGTAGGTACAATGCTCGAAAAACCACGCGTCATGTGGTCCGGGGTTCGATCCCTGACCACCGAAGCGCTCCTTTACTTCAACAAGCCAGTAATAAAGCTGGTAAAGAGGAAAGGTTGGGCATGAGGCTAGCAACTCCGTCCTGTAAAAATAAACACCACTGCTACAGAAACTTCAAGCCTCTAGCTTGAAAGTGCCATGTGTTCCACTAGGATCGGGAAGGAATGAAAAAAGAATCTAGTTTCACGTTTAGAACAGGTTTCTTTTCCTTCCAGGAGGAGGTCTTTCAAGACAGAGGATGACTACTGAATGTAGTTTATCAGTGAGTGAAATTTCAGCAACAAAAAAAATACAACATTTTCGTAGCAAATTGTATATGAATAATACAGAAACAGGAGGTAAAATCAAGTAGAGTTTAAATTTTCCCACCTGATTAAAGCAGTGAGCTACCTAATTGCCTATTCACAATATTATTTGGGTCAATTTTTGATTGGACGCTAGTCCGTTGCTAGTGTAATGTGTGGTTTAGTCCTTTCTTTGGTGCAGACAGAATTAATTTGTCAGTCAAGTTTGCAATGTGGCCACCATGCCCCTAGGTGGCTCACCATCACGATCCACTGTGAATTGTGGCCGTTAGATGGTTGGAGACAATCGGCTGGTTGCCTCATCTGACTCATCAGTGTATATCCAATCCATTTGAGTTTAGTGTTGAGGATCTGGATCTTGTACGCACTAGTGAGTGAGTGTTATTCATCTCCACATTGATTTTATAATAATGAATGAATGCCTATATTGGATTGTCAATCTTAATTGGCTTTGACACCTTCATCCGTGCCGCTTGTAATTGAAATTATACTACACACACAAAAGTGAAAGAGGTTGGCTATCTTCATCACCTTTGCCTTTTCTATGCTTACCTAATATCCTCTCATCGCTGCCTCTTTTTCCAGCTCATCTGTTCTCACTCGACGACCCTTGTGTCATATGATATCCCTAGGAGGTCTTCATAGAGTATATCTAATTTCGTGTGAAACCTCCCTTCTTACCAAGGATTACTACCAGTTATAAATGAGGTGAAGGAGTGCATCGACCGTGGATGGAAACCCGGACTACGTGCGTAGTCACTGTTGTTATTCTGCCACTGAACCGCCATCGCTATTCTCACGCATACTTAAAACTGAATTAAATTCAACTGATTTGACTTTACCGACTCCCCCCCACCCTCTCTGTCTCGCTCACTTGTAATCTAATTCCGAATTAATCTAATGTAGGTGAAACCAAAACAGGATCACATTGCGTAATATACATGCAAGCCCAACTTTGACACACGCACACACACACACACACTCAAGTATATCACGAGCACCTGATCAGCTGATACACATGCATAATTACTAACTATTTTTGTTACTTTGTTGTTGATGCCAGTGTTTTGTTTTTTTGTGTGGTTCTATATCCCCTTTGGTTATGATTACACATTATCATCATTATGTAACCTGTCAAAGATTAGAATTATTAGTTAGCTCACACACCTTTTTCCACACACACGCACACACACTCAAAGACACAAGCACACGTGTACTTGTGTGTGTGGTGTGCGTGTTAGCACAGAAACATTAACACAGTGGCAAATATAACCACCTCACCACCACCTTTCAATCAGAAATAGATTAATAGAAACAACAAAAATTTTTTAAAAATATCAGATGTATTTAACTTTATCTTCGTTTTCATTTTTATTTATGTGATTATGAAGATGACAAATGTAGAAACTTTTAAAAGTCACTTGATTTCACGCGCTCTCTCTCTCTCACTTTCTCAACCGGTAGTTGATTTGTTTTCTACCAATACATACTAATTGAGAAGTCTTAATGTAGGACAAAAACGACATTGTTGTAAACAGGAAGATTCTATTTTACTTTTTTCGTTGTTGTTGTGATGTATGTACTAAGCAGTGAAGGCAAGGCTTATGAGATGATATTAGGTGATCTGTGAACTAGAAAATCGTTTTAAGGGGTGTGAACTTCAATATTTTATTTAGTTTGACACACACGTATGAATGCAATAACTTCCATCACAAAAAAAAGGCAAAAATATGCAACAAATGTAATCAGCTGTGGTTTATTGGCTTGAAAACTTTCCTTTCTGATTAGCAGACCCTAGGATTATATGAAATGGAAACACAGTCTTAACAAGAATAAAGGTGTCTCTGATATTTTCGCCATATGAAAACTGAAGACAACAATGGACGAAATCATATGCCTATTTTCAAGGGTTTGTCTTGTAGGATTTTATTTGAAAACAAAATACGTAGTTCAGAGAAGAGTCTCATTTTGCGGCGGCGAATTCACTTTCTTAGCTGTACAATCACAAATATATACATACATATTTTTTGTATTTGTGTGTACATTAGGTTTATCCGATAAGAATAAAAATAAGTTAGGGGTTATTGTTATCAAGACATTCCAAAAATGTGATAAATAATCAAATTGTAACTAGGGCGGGGATGGAATGAAGATTGGTAAGAGGGTAGTGCAGATGCGTTGTCAAACAAAACATAGTTATTAATATTAATTAATATATAATACTGGTTGTATAAGGAATACAATAATCGAATATCTCGTCAATACATTGGTCAATCCATCTCAACAAACGTCTTCTCCTTCAAAGGGATCACCTACACAGCCAACAACAACCTACAACAAAAGACAATACTCTTTTGTCTCCTTTCTATTACTGAAGCCTTAGTCATTCAGTGAGAAAAACCAGAGTTATGTATACAAAAGAAAATCATCCAACCACTTCTACTATCACAGTGGTAACAACCGTGTGTGACTTCTGCTCACTTGATGTTTATGTGCTTGTTTTTGTTTTCTTCTAACTCTCCATAACCTTTGTCATTTTTAGAACGCTTACATAATTCCATATTCTCCTTTTGTTTCTATATCCATCCTAAACACAACTCACTCACATTAAACTATTCATCTTATTACGTAACTGCATTACACTTATCCGACTTCTTTTATGTGTTGATCAACACTAATAAGTATGTTTTCTTTGACAACACATCACCACCACTCTCTTACTGATCTTCACCCCCAACCCCGCCCTAGTTACAATTGGATTACTCATCACATTCTTAAACTGTCTTGATAACAATAACCCTAATTTATTTTTATTCTTATCGGACAAACCTAATGTCCACACACACATACATACAAAAATAAGTATAGATAATTGCGATTGTACAGCTAAGAGAATGAATTCACCGCCGCAAAAAGAGACTCTTCACTAAACTACGTTTTTGTTCTTCATTAATGTCTGGATGGGAATTATATTCATGAATTTGACTTAATTAAGGTTTGTTCACGGATTGATATCAGTTAGAGAACCATTGAAAGCCAGCAAGGAGTACTCGGCAGCTGCTTCTCTAGTCCCAGTTTGGGACTCTTCAGCAGTATGCATCCCCCGCTAGGGTTCGAAACCAGGGCCTTCCGGTTACAAGGCAAGCTCACAGACCATTAAGCTACTCAGGCCTGACTCACTGGCCAACCCACAAATTTTAACTTCTACCGATTCGTGATATGTTATTTGGTGCGACTGGCATCAACCATAGTCATCACTGGTGGGTATTTTTCTCCACTTCCGACCGGTTTGGTGGACCGTAGCGATCACGACTTCTCAATAGAAGTGTAGACGACTTTATCCTGCAGCCATCTAGTCACTAGCGAACATCAGATTAATTTTTAAAAGGTTTTCAGGATGGACTTGATTTTTTTGCTCACAGATTTTGATGAGGTACACGAAGGGGAAATTAAAAATATTTTGTTTTTAAAAACAGCCTATACTAATGAGAGGCGAAATAATGAATACTGTTTTTGAGAAGACAGATAGAAAAGAAGAAATTAAAAGTTCCATATAAGTCAATAAATTAAAAACATCTTGAAAAGATGTTGAAGAACAATGTTTGCCCTCAAAGATTCACTAACAAGTACGAAAGATCTGAGGTCTCAAATGTCAAACAAATCACAGTAGAGAAAAAGCCAATCTACATTCAACTTGATTATAAAGGTGAAAATATTGCAGCAATGGGCAACAGAAGATTGAGAACGTCACTAGCCAGAGCCTACCCTGTAGTCAAGCTCATTTTCGTCTACCAAACAAATTGCTCTGCTTCGGTGCAATCAAAAATCGATAGATATCCTTCTCATGTTAACTCCAAATATATATATATATATATATATATATACAAATTTACATGTATCTGAGGGAACTGTTACATTGGAAGAACATGTAACAAAAAGCTTATGTTTAAAGAAAACAAATGCTTTAAACAGTGCCATCGCCAGGCATCTTCTTAACACGGGTTATGAGGTGGAAGTCACAGGATCCTTCAAAATTGTCAACGGACAAAAATAACCGATTCTTCTCCAGTTTGTCGAAGTGATCTCTATCAAACGCCTAAAACCCGATTTATGTGTTCGGAAAGAAGCAGTAATCAGTCTTTCCTTGCCCACGTTGGTAACTGGATATTTTCATCTCTTTTCCATCTGATTACGTAATGCCGAAAGATACCATTCTGTATGATCATTATTGTTTGGGATAAAGTGTTTATTATCACCATATATATTATTACTGTGTGCATATATTGATTGATTTTTGGTTTTAAAATGACTCTGGCCTGTAAGCAGCTGATGACAAGCCAACGAAACTGGTGTTCTTGCTTTATTCAAATTCATAACGAAGGGAATAAATGTATGAAACAATCATTCTTTCACTATTATTATGGATGTATAAATATAACTGTAGAACCTGATGAAGAAGAGCAGGTTATCGAAAAGAATAATCTAAATCAACTTACCACGTTCAATTTCTTTTACAATAGCCATAAATTTTGGCCATATAAGTTTCACAGCATAAAGTGATGTACTGACAGTATCTTTATTGGCTGAACAATGATCACCACCATTAGTGCTGTTACCGCCTGGGCTAGTAGTAGTACACGAGGAATCAATAGCCAACCAATAAGCTTGATAACCAAGTAATCTAGCTGTATCTGGTTGCCATTGACATGTGAATATTGTACTAGTTAATTGTTTAACTAAACGACATCGAAATTGGCGATTTGATGCTGATGAAATAGCCAATGATATACACAGGCCAGTTAATCCAGTCATATAACGTATATCTATTGGTGAACGTGAATTTCCCATTGGCTTGGTATCCGGTCGATAGATAGTTGTATTCATTTGTGAATTGGCTACAGTTTGTACATCTGTGTACATATTTTCATTCAATGTTGACAGATAACTCAGTATACGCTCATAGATTGTGTACACCGTGTCTTGTAGATCAGTGGATTCACTGATAATTTTCTGTGTAATTGGATTCATTGAATTTGAGGCATGATCATCTGAGAAATTTAATATTGGCGTAGAAAGAACTAAAAATAGAGACAGAGAGAAAGAGAGAGAGAAAATAGAAATCATACGATTTTGTAAACAGCGACAACAACAACAGACAACAATCAGCCAGCGTAAATGGGGGGAACCTGAAAGAAACAACCTCTTTTACCTACCTACCTACCTGAGAAGCATCGTCTCAACTACAGGCGGACGGAACTGTTGAGGATATCAAAGCAAGAATCGGAAAAGCAAGACAAGCTTTCATCACTCTCAATTCTGTGTGGAGGTCAACAGTACTCAGCATCAAAGATAACATCCGGATTTCAAACTCCAATGTGAAGCCAGTGCTACTCGCTATACGGATCAGAGACTTGGCGCGTCATAAAGAGCATCTCCAACAAATTACAGACCTTCATTAACAGTTGTCTTCGCTCAATACTACTCAAGATCAGATGGCTGGCCAGAAAAGATCAGCAACAGAGATCGATCTCTGGCAATGAGCGAACCAACACAGCAGGAACCGATTGTGAAACAAATAGGCAGGAAGAAATGGAGATGGATTGGCTGGCCATACTCTGAGGAAACCATCAAGTGACATCACTAGACAAGCCATCGCTCGAGTGGAACCCGAAAGGAAAGCGGCGAGTTGGTCATCAGTGCAAGAGTGACTTGGAGGAGGTCATGTGAAGAGGAGACGAAAACATGTGGGCAGACTTGGAACCAGGTGAAAACTCTAGCAGAGAACCGAACGCAATGGAGACGCACGGCTGAAGCCCTATGTTCCTCTAGGAATTAAAGGAAACAATAATAATAATACGATTTTGTAAAACTATATACTACTAATATCTCTTTGAAATGAGTAGTTGTTGGATACCACTCATGTCAACCGGTGGTGGTGCTTGATTACCATTTATGGTATAACTTGGTTTCCAATGGAGACCACGGTGAAATTTCACCATTCGAATTGTGTTTAAGCTGTGAACTTGATCATCAAAATTTCAACCTGGTGTAACCAACGCTCAGTTAATCTGGGCTTAGTAGGTTTACTTAAATAAAATAATTTGACGGATGGCAACTAGCAGTGTTGGAATCAAGGACAACATGCGTTTCGTCCCACTGGGGACTCACCAACTAACTGGATATACCTGCATTTCCCATTGAGTCAATGTTGGTATCCCCCCACTGAGGCTTGAACCTAGTACCCATTGTTTCAAACTCCAAAGCGTTATACACTAGACCACTTAGGCCACGAAAGCCAACAACTGAGAAAAACAACTACATTTACCAAATTGGACGCCCCCCTCTTCGTCTTCATATCCATGAACATAAGGTAACCGTCAAAAGACATGACATCCACTCCCTCATATCGCCCCACTGCATACAGACATCCACGGACATCAATTCGACTGGGATAACCAACATTCAAATATTAGACAGAGGAAACAACAAGAATGCTAGAGAATTTTAGAAGCCTGCCTGGTATTCCAGTGAATCATCAATCAACAGACACATCGAGAGAGACAAAATTTACCAACCGATAAGAAAGAAACCTTACACACAAAGGGTCAAAATTCAAGTCGAGGAAACCATCAGTTCCAATACAAGTAGTCTAGAGGGTGTGACAATCACATTCAAGGCGACCAGGAGAAATGACTAACAGACTCGAGGATAAATCTAAAAGCTCACTTCAAACTGAAGTATGCGTAGACTACATCGACTACTAGCTTAAAGACAGACAGTGGAATGGCTGGTGGGGCGTGTTGACCGCTTCACTTATGTGCGAATTTGCATCAGCCAATCTAACGGGTTGATCTCTGACGAAATCTCAGCACGGATACACAGAAGGCTCATTTGGTATTTGCCTGTCAACTTACACCATCTCTGGCTTAGTAGACGTGTGTACTGCTCAGCCGCAGTTCGCTCAGTCCTCCTTTATGTATGTGAGTGAGACAAGGCCATTGAAAGTGGAAGACATGAAAAGCCTGGCCAGTTGTCTTTGATCACAGCTGTCTACGTTCTGTCTCCCATAATAGGTGATAGGTAATAGTAGGGTGAGTAATATAGAAGTTAGGCTTCGAGTATTAGGTTAGGAGAAAACGTCAGTCGATGAGGTTTTGAAGCAGTTATATCGACTGAGGTGGATAGGATATGTACTGAGCATGCCAAGCAATCGTCACCCTCTCGAGCAATGTTAGCGGACATAGAATTGAGTTGTGAAAGAGTCAGAGGTGATTTAACAAAAATATGAGGTCCGTTAATTGAATCTTTAGCAGTGAGTTTGAGCCAGCCACGCAGGGAAGTGCAAACGTCCTGACTGGTTGGGGTCCTCGGGATGGTAATAACCAATGTCTGGAGATAGCTGGTGACATGGTTCAAAATCGGTGTTCTCAATAGCTGGCACAGATGCATTTACTCTTTGTGATTTGCCAGTCATATCCAATAAAACTCTGCTGTTTTTCCATATTACTATTCTTTTTCCCCCACTCACACTTCTGTTTATTATCTCTCTCTTTTGAATCTCTCTTTACTGTTTCCTCTTGCTTTGTGTGCTCCATGGAGTGGAGCGTGGCAAGTGGAACTGCTATACATCTGTGCAAAGTTCTACGTTGAAGCCAGTCAATTAGCCACCTAAGCGTTTGAAGAGAAAGATTTTCAATTATGAACATATGGCACAGCGAAACAGTTTTATTCATCATTGGATGACGAGGTTTTGAATACAATTCATTATTGTTCATAGCTGTAACTACACAACTTCGGAACACCACTTTTGTAATGCTCCTTCTTCCTTCCCATTTGCCGTAGGGGTGGTAGAATTCTCCAGATGTCCAGGACAGTGAGGAGTTGGTTGAATCATTCTCCTGTTGCACGTATTCGCTCTCAGTCGATTCAATAAATTAAGCTTCACTTTCAAGTGTTAAATTCCATAAATTTGATTGGTTTAAAGTTCAATTACGAATTGATCTTAGTAAGAGAACGATTCAGTACTCTCTGGTTAGTTTTTTTTATACAATTGTCCTCTAACTGATATCAACCCGTGATTGAACTTGAAATGAAGCTTCAGTTATATCAATCTCTCCCTCTCTACCCAGTCGTACTAGATTTTAAGACTGTCTTCTTATCTCATCCTATTGTATGGTTGTGTGTGTGTGTGCAACTGCATGTGTAAAGAGGTGGCTGAGTTTTGTTTCCTACGTTTCTTCTCTTATTTAAGGTAGACCAATCTAGATTTTGTGTGCGTCAGTGGCATAGCGGACAGGACGCTCGCCGACCATGCACATGGTCCGGGGTTCGATCTCCGGCCGGCGCACTCCTTTACCTCGCTAAGCCAGAAGTAAAGCTGGTGAAGAGGAAAGGTTAGGCATGAGGCTAGCAACCCCATCCTGTAAAAATAAACACTGCTACAGAAACTTCAAGCCTCTAGCTTGAAGCCCTATGTTCCACTGGGAACGTGAAGGAATTAAAAAAATCTAGGTTTTGCTAGGGTTTCGTGGTCCGCTAATCTATCTGAACCTATCCTATTACTGTGGTGAGAGCTGGCTGCGAACAAGCCGGAAAAAGCGATAACAAAGTTTAACCTTGAGGAACTCAACAACCAATCACAGCAGACTTAGCGTGGGCGGGTACGATTAGCAGATATATGGCTTAACTTTCTAAGAAACGGTCACAAGCAGTACAGAATAACCTTCAGCAAGAAAACAACCAATCAGAAGACGTTGCTTCTCCGCTGACAATAATGTACATAAAAATCTATAAATATCTCTTGATTTTCTTAATAAATGATCTCTTGCCTGACCCTTCTCCTTTGTTGTTACATTTGGTGTTGCTGCCAGGATACAAACCTGTCGTTAAACTACTACTCCTTTGGCCTATGTATTTGACCTTATAATCATAGCAGGGTATTAGATAAACTAAATTATTTTGTTTCTGTCATATTACCTAAACATTATTGACGTAGGGCATCACATACTGACACAGTGTGTTCAAGTTTTACAGTCGTATATTAATTAGCAAGTATTGGTTTGCACAGAGGATTTGATTGGTTAGAGGTTTGATAGCGAGTTGACATCAGTTAGAGAACCAGCCAGTGGAAAACTAACCGGGGAGTACTGGACAGCAATTTCTGCCGACAGCTCTTCAGCAGTGTGCACCCACTCCACTGGATTTTAAACCCAGAACCTTCTCTGGTTACAAGATGAGTTCGTACACCATCTAGCCGTTGGGACTCAACCTAATGGCCTGTGAATTCCAGCTTCTTTTCAAGTATTGGTTTTGTAGGGATTTTGTTTGATTGCATGGACGATTTCATCATGAGCTGACATCAGTTAGAGAACCATTGGAAAACCAACTGGGAGTACTGGACAGCTGTTTCTGTAGTCCTCCTTTGGGACTCTTCAGAAGTACGCACCCACCGGGATTCGAACCCAGGACCTTCTGGTTACAAGGCGAGCTAGCTCGTAGACCATTGAGCCACTGGGACCTGATCCAATGGTCCTTGAATTCTAACTTCTGCCAATTCACGACATAGCGCGTCCAATTCACAATGTCTTCTTCGATGAGTTACTGCCTCATCTTCAACCTGCTGTACCCTACTGGTCACGGCTTCCCACTACAACCACAGAGTTAACTGCCTGAATAGGGCCAGTCACTAGTGAGCATCAGATTAATTGTCAGTGGTTCTCTAACTAATGTCAGCTCATGATGAAATCCTCCATGCAATTCCAGCTTCTATGAATTCGTGATACATACAGCGAAACTGTCACTCACACGTGAGTAACTGTTCTCTGACCTGACTGGATTGATCCCGCTGGTTAAGACCTCTCGCTATATTCATTAGATAGATGTGAATGCTAACGTTCGCTAGAACGTAAATAAATCAAACAGGCATTCTTACTCTTATCATAAGTCACATTATCAAAATTATCAGAGTGTTAATTTACTAAAAAAGGAAGAGTATTGAACATCAATATATCATAGATGGACTTTGTATATATCACAAAGAATAAGTACATAGACGAGAAGAACACACAAAAAATCAAAGAATTTACTTACATATTCTACTTAAACATGATATAGAATAATTGAAACGATCTGGAAAATTCATATCTAAACCATGCAAGAGGATTTGTAGAACACGATTCAATTCAGCTCGACCAGCCAGATAAGTGAAAGCTTTTAAATGACCATGACGTACTGATGGAGAAACATGTTCATAGGCTGGTTTATATGAAGCCTAAAATAAAACAAACAAGATATAACAATGGCAAGAATAATATTAATAATAATTGTACTATCTTAATGGTATAGTTATTAATAGAAATTAAATGATCATTCATTTCAACACAAACTTGATACATAATGGGCACCAAGAAGGGCGTCACATAAAAAACCCCGGAAGAGTATTGTGATGACAAAGGCAAGCATATTGATCAATAGCATTTTAGGAAAGCCTATTACTAAGTGTTACTTTCAGAAAGAGAGAAGAGGAAATTGTGACATGTTCCTTAATGATTACGAGGCTCAGCCATATAAGATATCTTGAGTCACTGATTGAAATTACCATATAGGGAGAAAAAAGCCCTCCCCATTTTCCATCTAGTCCCAGGGCTAGCAAACACAATGGGATGATGTGTCTAACGTCACCGAAAGTGGCATTCAAAGATGATCTCCGTCATGTCCAAAAGCGCACCACTAGACCTCAGAATTATTCGCAGGATGATATCATTGGATGAAAGTGATAGATGGGAACATAGAGTCGGTGAGCATCCTTGTGGCTGTGAGAGGTCAAGTGACACAGGCATAGTGCAAGATGGTACGCACTGAAGGCATTGATAGCCAGGCTAACGTTGTGACGGTGAAAAAGCTGGCCCAAGTTGGCGTATGCCATTCTACCTTTCAATGTACGTCTGGAAATCTCAACCGTCTCACCTCCACCCGCACTCACCCAACTACCTAGATACACAAACTTACCAACCACTCATAAGTGTTCACTTGCAAAGGTTCAAAATGCATACCCACCGCGTTTCGTGGAGAAGAACATGAAACCAAGGCCAAAAAGAAAACATTTTATTTGAATCTGGAATTCAGGGGAGACCTAGCAGCAGATATCCTTAAAAGGAGAATCTCCAATTCCCTGAAGAAGACTTTTCCAACAGAAACTGTGAGAGTGATATCCTCTAGCCGCCGACTACTTCGGAGCAACGGGAAGGACAGACTTCCACATACGGCCACTTCAGTGTACATATATCAGTTCACCTGCTCTTGCGGAGCTAGATACATAGGTCGTTCTATGCGGGTCTTATCAAAACGTATTAGAGAACATCATCCAGCATGGTTGCAAACAGGAGGCACTGGTTTAATCAGAAGCGCCATAAGTGAACACCTAGTCAGCAAATCTGACACAGCATCTCATCTGACTGATCATTCAGAGTCACTTATATAGCAAACAAAAATCTACTAAAGGCAGTGTGTTTCCGACTTCTTTGTACTGCAGAAGCTCTCGCCATATGCATCGAAAAGCCAGAGCATTGTGTGTTCAAAAAAAAACTAGTCTAGCCTTTACAACTTCTACGGACCTAATTCGGTATGTTCCCTTATCCTTCAGTTTTTTTTGTTTTGTTCTCTGTGTGTGTAATTTTCTCTCTTTGTCTTCATTCAATTCATCCCATTTTTTCAGTTATAAAATCAGTTATTTTAAGTTTGTTTCCATGCTCCTCCTGATCACACTTGTAATCCGTTTAGAATAACCACTTTACAATTATATTCTAATCCTGTGTAACTTTTTGTTTCTATGCTTCTTGTAATCTATATTCACACCTCCTAACTTACATTTCAAGTTGAAAATTCTGATCTCAATTTGTTTCCATGATCATTTTATTCACACCTGTAATTCATTCTATCCCTGCATCTCTAAGCCTCTTGTCATTCATATCAAGTTGAAAATAATTATCACCTTTTATTCACCTTTAAAATTATTTCTCCAGTTATCAAATATTAATTTTGTATACGGTGTAACTGTTTTCTAATTCTATGTAATCTTGTCTGTAAGCTCCTTGTAATCTGTATTCGTATCTTCAAACTTTCCTATCAAGTTGAAAATTATTATCACCTTCGTTACTATGTGGAATTAAACAAATAATATTTGTAACCATGTAAACTAATCTAATATAAATGCGATTGTACAGCTGCTTTTGAGAATGAAATCACCGAAAAGATCTCCATCTTTGCTGAACTTCATGTTCTTTTCAATCTAAATTAGATTATTAAGGCAGGTTTAAAGTAATAACAAATAAACGTTGGACACATAAGACTGGTGGTTTAAACCATTGTGATACTATCGTTCGGATGCTGTGGGGTTTGTTTATCCATCCTTTCCGTTGAAGGATGATCAACACAGTCTGATCAAATAAACAAAGATTTAGGGAGGCAATCGACAGAAATTACTCTACAGCCAAACTTATTTTCATAGAGAAAAAGAGATCTATGCTGTCGTGTATACCCTCACAGCATCCAAACCATAGTGTCACATCCCTTTGTGTTTACCAATTTACATGTATGTGTGGTCACAAGTACATAGGGAGCAGTCATTGGTCTCTGAAGATTAAAGCCACAAAACATATCCCAAAAGTGGCTGCAACAACAACAAAAAATCACCGGATACAACTGATCCCAGAAATAGATGTCCGGCATCATCTATAGCGAAGCACATCATCCCGAAGGATCACAAGGTTGATTTCAATAATATTTTTAAACAAGCTTGGGTCACATACTTAAATTTGGTTGAAGTCTTGGCTATAAACAGGTTTGAACTTGTCTCATGCGTTCAGAAATTATTCATCATTACTTTGAACGTGCCTTCGTAATCCAATTTAAGATGAACGTTTAATTTACTTAGTGATATTTTCTTTTCTTCTTAATCCACACCATCACGTCATCCTCCTACCTCCCCTCATTTGTGTGGCCTTGACTTGTAAACAATTCAACCTATGTATTGGAATCATGTAGGCTCTCTTGCCTTCTGTGTCTGAAATGTGTTGCGCAAATACGCACATTACACGTTTCAGATAAACTGGGTCTTATTGCTTATTGGATCTCTCAAACGCCATGCATGTAATCAGATTGACTCGATTCAAACGTAACAGGAAGGTTCTATGCTGTCAACGAATTACCAGAAAACTGAAAGAAACTATTTTTAGATTATGTGGATGTAATTGTGAGTGATAGGAATCGTTTTGTATTCAATTTTTCGGATGTAATACTTAGTGAAGTGGATCTACAGATTCTATTGCTTGTCCCTAAATTTTGTGATAGCCATGTTAAAATTAAAACAAAATGGATGCACGAATTCAGTTCGAAAGTCTCTACACACAAACGGAAGGCCTAACACCCTCATCAACTGAAGATGTTGAAAGACTTAAATCAACACTGGTCGATTGTTGCTATTATTATATGAATAGTAAACGCAATTCGGATAGTATTTTGACCAAAAAACATAGAGAAGCTCTGGATGTTCTCCGTAAAAATGATAACATAATAATAACAAGACCGGATAAGGGCTCAGGAGTGGTTATCATGAACAAAGCGGATTACTTTGAGAAGATGAATACTATTCTTAATGACAATCTAAAATTCCAAAAAATTTCCTCTTCTCTGGATCCGACTGAAAGGATAGAGAAACAGTTAGCGGAAACATTGATAAGACAGAAACAACAAGGCTTTATCTCACAGAGTCAGTATACATCACTTAAACCCACTGGAACGTTCACACCAAGACTATATGGCTCGCCTAAAGTGCACCGCTTCGACCAGTATTAGATATCTTAAATTCACTATACCATCCCGTAGCCAAATTGTTAGTCGAACTCTTACAGCCTCTTCATACCGAGTTGGTGAAACACAGTGTAATGGATACTTTTGGATTTGTTGAAAGGACAAAAGATTTAAATGTTGATAATAAATTCATGATATCTTTTGACGTTTCTTCTTTATTCACCAATGTACCTCTCATGGGAACAGTGGACTTTATATGTGAAGAACTCATGAGACGAAACATCGATATTGGCATTCCTATATCTTTTATTAAAGAGCTCCTCTAGAAATGCACACGGAATGTCCACTTTTTATTTAATAAGGAACTATATAGACAAATCGACGGTGTGGCGATGGGGTCACCACTAGGACCCATTCTAGCCGACATTTTCCTTGAGAAACTAGAAAATGGGCCTTTGAAGGATGCTATTAATGAACTTGAATTCTATTGTTGGTACATGGATGATACATTTTCGAATATTAAAAATGAGGAGGAAGCAAAGAACATCCTGAATGGATTTAAAGAAGTTCATCCTGCAATAAATTTTACTATTGAGAAAGAGAAAAATTCTAGTATTTCATTTTTAGACGTCCTTATGACCAGAAAAGAGGATGGCGCAATAAGGAGAAGTGAATATAGAAAACCTACATCAACGGGTCAGTATACTCATTTTTTCACCTTCTCACCCTTGAAAAACAAACGCAATCTGATAAAGTGCTTGGTTCACAGAGTAAGAGCAATCTGCTCGGATGAATGTCTTGATGAGGAACTTTATTATATTAAACGGTTACTGAGTGAAAGTGGTTATCCAGAAAAGTTTATTCATAAGAATATGAATCTGAAATCAAGGCAGCCCAAGGTACCAACAGTTCTTAAAAAGGCCCTATTCTTACAAATGCAGTTCTTTGGGGAAAACATCAGAGAGATACTAAGACAGCGCCTTATAAATACGGTAAAAAGAGCATTCCCTGCCGCCGAATTACCCTGTGTCCTCAAAACCATTCCTCTCTTGCGTTCGGGAGTAAAAGACAAACTGCTTAATTTCGCCACTTCCATGTGTATATACCAATTTAAATGCTCCTGTTGGAGCCAGTTACTTGCATAGACCGTACAATTAGGCGTGTTTCTCATCGAATTTACGAACATCACCCTGCATAGTGGTTAAGTAAAGGATAAACAAAATCTATTCGTAGCGTTATTCTGTCTCACCCATCTTGTGGATACAGAACACAAGATTGACGTTAACCATGCTTTCAGGGTCATTTACCGCATATCTACGAATCTCAATTTTGCCTTAAGACTTCGACTGCTAAATATTGCTGAGGCTGGCTGTTGGGATCCAAGACTAATTTGTGCATCCCAAAGAAGTTAGTTCAGATGTTATCCTTACCATGGCCATCTAGGTTTAAACGATACTCAATTTTGTGGAATTTTCCTAATTTTAGTTGATATTCTATTTGCTATTATATTTTTATTATTAATACAATTTATACATCTTTAATGAACTGTAATTCCATTGTGACCTCACTTTACAAATCGATATTATTTAAAAAACACCAATATTGTTATTGACTACTATTCTAGAATATTCTATGTATATAAACATATACGTATATAATTGTAGAGGAACTTATCGAAAAGGATATTCTTTGCTCAATTATTTTGTGTCTTATTGTTTTGTCTAAGTTCATAAAAGGGACTAATCGCTTTATATAAATATATATATATATATATGGTTGTACCTTTGCTAGCCTGACGCCCCCTCCCCAAACTTTCCCTTCCTTACAGGGCTTGCTAGATGCCAAGCGGAATTAATGGGTGCATCGACCAAGAATAAAACCAGGACCCCATGTGTGTGTGGTTGACGGGTATTCTACACCTGAAGCCCTGACATTACTGACTATCTTTTAATATAAATATATATAAATATATAAACTAAGGGTATTTACAATAGAAATAGAATAGCAAAGAATACCTTCTGGAAGAGCCTCTTCTTTACTTCATGTCGATCATAATCTCTGACTGGATTTCTATTCTCTGGTGATTTATTACGTTTCACTTTATCAGCGGATTCATCATCTGCATCAGACGACAGCAGGTCTTCTTCCTCTTCAACTGATTCATCACCACTGTCATCTTTACCACCGCCAACATCACCATTTTCCATCTCTTCAACAACATCATTATCATCCAGACCACCGTCATCTAGATCCCCACCAGCACCACTGTCTGGATCACCTTCACCGACAAGATAAGCACTGAATGATCCACGTGGATATAATGGAAACTTGACATAGATTAACGACTGAACAGACCATATTAAAGCATATAGTGGTCGTGTAAACCGTAACGGCATTTCTGGTCTAGTTAAACCATATTCCAGGTCATTGAGAAGATTCGGTAAAACTAGACTTGGTCGTAGTTTACATAACATTGGAATAATTTCTACAGTTATATTAACGATTGTAATTGATTTTGAATAGAGAAGATGATTTAAACAGATCGGTGTGAACAGATTGACAATCTGATCAATTTGTTCCACTGAGAGATAGAACTGGAATTGTGAAAAGACAAAAATAAATAAATAAATAATACAAAGGATATCAATTTTATGTCCTGTCTCTATAATATACATTTCACAACAAAGGATATAAGTCTCCTACTTTCACCATTAATGGGTTCTGGGGATTCCATTTGCTTCTGAAGCCAGCCCATACTTTCAGAGATCGATGAATCCTCCCTATGTATGTATGTGTGGCCACACGTACATTCAGTAGAATCCAACGAATCCGCACTGAAGATACACTTGATGATGAAGAAAGAAAGTTGACACAAACTCTGGTTGATAATAATTACCCAGACAAGTTCATCAGGAGATATAAAGTAGTCAGAACTCCATGACCCACTCTCCAACACGTCACTAAGAAAGACGTGTACATCAAGCTACCTTACACAGGTGATCATAGCAGCTTGACAACTGGACATAGATTGAATGCTGTGGTTAAAAAGACTTTTTAAGCAGCTCAGATCAGAATAATTGAGAATGTGAAGCCAATAAATGCATCTAAGCCATTAGAATATGGGAAAAAGGATGTCACATCCCACTGTAATTAACAATTTGAATGTACGTGTAGACGCATATACATAAGGAGGACTCATTGACCTCTGCAAGTAAGGGTTGGCTTCAGAGCATATTCCTAAATGGCTACAGAAGCAAATATAATCTCCAGAACCCATTTATGTTGAGAAAAGGAGAGCCAGGTCCATAATTGTGAAATAAAAGAATAGAAAAGAAGTAG